GCAGGGACGTTCTTAGGTTTAATAGAAGAGGAGCTAGGGTGATGGGATTGACTAGCTACTTTGGAGACAGAGTATCGGATAAGGGGATGAAGGAAGAATGATAAGGAGCGTGCATAGCAGGGTGGCAGGCCTTCAGTTAGTACCATGCTATGAGCGAGTCTGAGGTTTATCTGAGGCTTAATTCAGAGCTGATACTGAAATCCATCTAAGGTGAGCTGATCACATGAGAGCAGCTAAAAATACGAGTGTGAAAGGATACCAGACCTTGAATATGTGGTAGAGAAGGAAATGGCTTCCTGTCCTCAAAGGACTTCATATCATCAGCTTCAGGTAGTTGAATCAAATCCTTGTTTATGGGTGTGATAAATGCACTATTTTCTTTCTTCTGATACCAGAAAAGGGCAAAGCGGACAGAACTACAGAATAACTGTTTTCGTTGCATCATTACTCGCATCATCCTGTCCACGGTTTCTCAGAAGGGTCCAAGATGATAACCTGGAGATGTTATTACCCGAGCAGTAATTTTCACAAACATGTCTGACTCACAGCTGATTGTCCGCACAGCAGATTAGATTTGAAGCAGGAAAACAATGAACAGAACATTACCTGGCTTGTGATTAGTGAAAATTTCTCTGGGGAGGACATCATCTCCAAGGTACACGCCGTGCTCCTCTTGACTACAACATGCTCGGACAAGTTTGGTAAATGGCACATGAAGTTTGGATGAGTACAGGTGTCAGATTTGCACTGTACATGGGATCAACTCGTGTCGAGAGAGTTATAGATGTACTGTTTTTTATACTCGTGCTGAAAGGTAATGGTTATGTTTTGTTAAGTAATCAGATTATTTTCAGATCTTAAGGGAAAATGTGCTTGGCCTTCTGCTATCAGGGTGCTATTGATTGACCCATTAGTTTGTTCATAAAATGTCCTTAGTTTAGTAACAACCAGACGAGCCTTCTTCACAGCCTTAAGCAGGGCTGTGCATCTTGTGTAATCTTCCGTACAAGGACAAGTTATATTGGTGAAATACAGTCTGTAGTCACAATATGAATCGAAACAATGAAGGTCGTGAGACTGATTTCTAAAGAAAACGTTGCTTAAGTAGTTTGGGAAAATTACACTTTATCTTGCTTTTAATTGTGTTTCTGTTATTTCTTTTTATTTAAAATCTTAGTTATTGTGTTATTAAATGTTATTTTGTAAATGGGTCTCCAAGATTAACAAAAAAGATTAAAATTAAATTAATATTTATATTAATAAACATTAATTGTAATGCAGTGGTTGTATAGGTTTAAAATAGAGGTTGAAAGGTATTTTTAACTGACCACACACTCACTGTCAATCAGAAGCCGATTTAGCCTTTCTGAATCCTGACATGCATTCGTCAGACATTTCATTAGGTATACCTTGCTAGTACCAGGTTGCACTCTTGCTTTCAGAGCTGCTTTATTTCTTCGTGGCATAGATTTAAGAAGGTGCTGGAAACGGTCCTCGTGGGTCTTGGTCCATATTGACACGGTAGCATCACGCAGCTACTGCAGATTTTTCCAGCTGCATCTATGATGTGAATCACCTGTTCCACTACATCACAAAGGTGCTCTATTGAGATCTGGTGATTATGAAGCCTATTGGAGTACACTGTTACACCGCTACCATCAGCGTGAACTGTTTATAAAAGGCAGGAAGGAGCCACAACCACATCTACGTGTCTAAAGGCACTGAGGTGCTGCCACGCGGTTGGCTGATTACATATTTGCATTAATGAGCAGTTGAGCAAGTGTTTGGTATTTTCGTTTGTTAAAATAAACGGCTAATTAAATCTTAACATAATCAACTCTTTTTCTATTTGTTGGCTATCCATTTTGGCACTACTCTGAATGTGTACATCCAGACAAAGTGCCAATGCTTCTGGGTTTTTCTCTTCAGTCCAGTGGTGGCTTCTAAAGGCCACCTCTGGTCAGTCTGTATGTACCTTAACAGGCGGTCAGTCAAAGAAAGGTCATTCTCCTGGTGGCTGCAGAGGAAAGAGGAACAGGAGCAGCGGGGAGTGCCCTTAATGTTTTCACTTCAAACAGCCCCTTTACATTCGAGTTGACAGATTGAAAGCAATGGAAAGAGAGGAGGAGGAATAACAAAAACAAAAGCAGGCATAGGCTGCTGGTTCAGAGTAGGCGAGAACGCCGCCATTGTGGTTAAGCGGGGAAATGCACGTGTACAATGCAGTGTATACATTTCCTGTTTTTGAGCTTTATTCACTTCACGTGTTTTGATCACATTATCCAATACATGTTGTCATATCACTAAAAGGCTTTCAGCAGCTATTTGCAGCTTCATTATTTGAAGTATCCACAATGACATTGCTAAAAGTGCACCACACCCTAAAGGTGTTTCATGTCTACCTCCAGATCAGAATCACCACTCTAAATGCTTTTTGACAAGAATCTGTTTAATTAATATTAAACATTAAATTAATAACAATGTAAAAAAATATGAAAAGTCTAATAGCTGCATAATTAAGATTGTTCTCCCAGCTGAGCCGAGGAGAGCACACCAAATTTTGCAGTGTATGTCAAATTCTCAAAATTTCAACTTTGAAGTAAGTTGAAGGAAGAAATTTTATTTTCTTTACTTGCTACATAGAAACTTACAACATGCTTCACTTCAATTCATCAAGTTTAATCATGGGAGGAAAGTTAAAGGGTGAAAAATGTTGCAGGGGAAGGAAGCAATAAGTAGGTTCAAGAATCCAGTTCAGTGTTTTGGAAAACCTGATCTAGAAGAAAAAGGAGGATAAAGAAAAGCAGCTGCAGCCACAAGTTTACTGATGCTCCATACTGCTTAAGTACAAGTGTGCCATCCTCTAACTGCATCATCATACTCTTATTTTGTTTTACACGTGCAGTCTTATAAAGCTTCATAGGTTCTTGCCTGTAATCTTTTAGCTAATATTATGTTAATGTTGCCGTGCGCGACACACGCCCGCTCGTGCCCCGCCCTTTCTGTAGAGCTGGGACTGCTGTTTGTAGCCTGCAGCATGCTGGAGTGTTTGACGTCAACCAGTCTGTTCAGTATTCAGCTCCATGAAATGGGTCACAGCTTCTGACGATAAACCAGCTGCACTGCTCCGCTCAGCTCTGCCTGCATCTCACATCTCGCATCTCACCTTCGCAGCAGCGTCAGACAGCAAACATACTTGTAATAAACCCACAGTGTCACGCTGCTTTAGCTCTCATTTTATTCCAGCCGCACCTGCTGCTACCTGCATTGCAGTAATTAAACGGTTCGACTACACACACTCACGTACACACTCAAAGAGCCGCTCAGCTCTGTTCACGAGTTTACCCTTTGCTAATTACTTAAACTTGATTCCTACAGGTATTTAAGCTATAATCTACTGCAGCTTTCCTTGTGTGTGCAAAAAACAAAAAAACATTTGACAGCCTGGATTCTTCATCGTCTTCTTTATTTTTAAGCATTTTGCCTTTTAGAGGCACCATGCAGCAATGTTTGCTGTAGAAATGGCCAGTCTGATCACATTTTATGATGTAACTCTTGACTATCAGACCTCTGTACACCCACACAGCCTCAGTTTTTAACACTAAAACAATTTGTCACTACACAGAAAAAAGCGAAACCCCTAATAATTTACTTACCATTGTGTTTCTAGCGTTCTAAATCTGACTGAGTCATAAAGATTCTAAAAACTAGGTCTGTCCAGCTTATTTGTGAGAGTTTGCACAAAAATCCCCAGCGTGAGATCAGGAGGAGAGACAGACCCAGCCTCCGGAGGTCATAAGTTAGTGCACTCCAAAGTGCTGGTGCCAAGCCCGGGAGGGGTTTCTGGAAGGGTATAACATCTATGCCAAATCAAATATGCGGATCCATCCGCTGTGTCGACCCTTCGGGAAATAAGGGAGCAGCCGAAAATACCTCTCACCTATTAAAGTTAGAAATGGATACTTGGTTTGGTCTGGTTTTGATTTTTGTGAAGAAAACAACAAAGTTAAAAAAACCTGAACTTTAGAGAAAATTGTGTTAGCACAATTCTCTGAAGACATGGAGCTGACACAGCAAAAAATACAAATTTGTTGGTAATTAAAAGTCACATGATCCGTTCTGATTGTCTCATCAGTTTGAATTTGGCTTAAATTGGTCGATAGTTTCTTTTACATGAACTGCAAAGGATCGTGTTGAGGAATAGGGGGTTTGGGTCGCACACTGCTCATTGTGTTGTTTGTGTCTTTGCATGTGTGTGTGAACCCACATCACCTCCAGCCCCATTATGTAAGCCAGAAATTTTTTTTTTTTTTAATCTCTTATTTATTTGTTTTGCAATACATTTTTGGTGTTTATGTAACTGTTTCGAATTATGGAAAAACGGTGGGGGTGGAGGGCTAAGTGAGCGTGATTGTCTGCTCCTGTGGCCGTCAGGCTCCGTGACGCCTTCCCATTGATAATGAACCAACTAAGCATGAAATTATTTATCCATTGTTATTTTTACGTTACTCTTTTTTTTTTTTTTTTTTTTTTGATAGAGCAAAGAGTATTAAAAAGTCAATCCAGTCTCCAAGTTGATAAATAAAAATCAAATTCTCAAAACTAAGAAGCTATTTTTTTTATTTGTATAAACTGAATTAGATCTGAATCTGTTAGTTGAGAGGACCTGAGGGATGAGAAGAAGAGAACATAGGTGAAAGTCATATTGACTCATAAGAAAGTAGGTTAGCTGAGTGATTGCAGGCACACATCTTGGCTCAGTGCAATTTGTCCGATTATGCTGCAGCATTTAGTTGGATGCTAATGAAAGGCAGACATGAACTTCAAATTTATTTTGTGTCCATTTGTTCCCCTTTTTCTTTTCTTCTGATGATTAAAATCGGACTTTTAGCCATTCTAGAGGGAACCAATCAGAGAACAGCACCAATTACCTCATGTCAGCCTCCAGGGGAGGTTACCTCATACAAAGGTCCATTTCGTAAATGTACAAATATGTGGATTAAACATTGCGTTATACAGAACTTGCATGAAGACACAAAACTATGAACTGCTACTCTGAGTTTTGTGCCTTCATGCTGAATTTGATAATTTATAGTTTTCCCATTTCAACATATCACATCCACACTGTTTATGGTCTCTAAGAGCCTGAACTCTTTTTAAAACATTTTTTTTTTTTTTTTTTTACTTTTACGGTCACAGGGCAGAAACTGCTGGACAACAGCAGGATTTCTGTGTGCCATTACCAACTCTACAAGCCTAAATGTCTGAAACTATCTTTAATCTACTTACCGCCCTGATGTTTCGCCTTCTGCAGATTTTGGATTTGGCAACTTTTTCCAGCCCGGGAAGCCTCTGGCCACATGGTGTGGCAGCCCGCCCTATGCTGCTCCAGAGGTCTTTGAGGGACAACAGTATGAAGGCCCGCAGCTGGATATCTGGGTAAAATGGCTGATTGCATAAATCGGACATCTCTTTAACACTTTGTTTTTAATAATTCCTTGTAACTGCATACCCGTGGATTGAATTTCCCTGTAATATCTTCTCAGCTCTGTTGCTGAGATTTTAAGCACCGTTTGCTTTAGTAAGCCACGTGAAGTCATCGGATGCAACTCATTTCTGAAAACGTTATGTATTCATATATTAGTGGACACAAAGTTTTGATTTCTTACAGTCAGCAGGTTTGGTTCCTGTCATGTCGTTCTGCGGTTACGTGTAATGTGATTTCCCAACCACAGTTTGTAGCCTCCTCTATATTGCAATCATTTACCGTAAGGTCGTGTGTGTGGACTCGTGCTTTAGTGGGACATGTGTGTCTGAGTTGTTTACATTTACATACCTAAGATTGATTAATCTACTGGTTGTTCTTCACTCCTATCCTCACCTTGTTTTCTTGTGTGTCCATTTTTTCATGTCTCCAGAGTATGGGGGTGGTGCTTTACGTGCTAGTGTGTGGTGCATTGCCATTTGATGGGCCCACTCTGCCTGACCTCCGGCAGAGAGTACTAGAGGGAAGGTTTCGCATCCCCTACTTCATGACTGAAGGTAAGACGAGACGGCCTCGCTTTTTCCTGCAAGCACAGATGCGTTTGGTGTAATAGTGAAAGACTTTCGGGTCTTCTATACAACAGCATGTAGTCAAATTGAGGAAAAAAAGTCATTAAAGTTCTTGGTAGGAACACTGACGCACAGACGAATAGATCACGCTTTCCTGTTTGAGTCACTCCTGCAGCTATAACCAGTCAAGAGGTCAGTCAGCATTCCACCGATTTGAAGGGGATACAATATGAAGCGCGTGTGTGTGTGTGTGTGTGTGTGTGTGTGTGTGTGTGTGTGTGTGTGTGTGTGTGTATTCAGGCTGCAGAGTGAGTCAGTTCGGCTAACGGTCTCAAGCAGCCCTGCTGTTAGCGGCTG